GAATCTACTCTTGTAGAGTACAACCCTTTTTTGTCACTTCTATGTTTAAAATTGGTGAATAATTTTCTTGTATCAAACAACTATAACCCTGTTCTAAATCTGCCACAATTGAGGGTTTGTGAACCATGACTGTGTTTCAGGACATATGAAAGCATCTCAATCATATCTACAGTAAGACTTTAACAAGTGCTCCATTTTTTTATGTGACTTATTGACAGTTAGAGCTTCAGATTTGCTTTTGATTGCTCTCCTGCTGCCTACCTATGTTCCATTCCCTGGCTTAGGGTTGTTCTGTAGTGTAATACCTGACCAGGGTTTACCTAGCTTTTATGCAAAGACTGCTGGAGACCGGCACCCTGAAACCCTGAAATCAACGCAGTAGAGGCTGGATGGCTGTTACTGATGCTACTGATGTCACTCTGGGTTATCTATCTTAATTTCTGGATGAGTCACTGTCTGATGAACCTGAGGAGTCATTTTGGTAGACCAGCTACACTTGGGACTTGATCACTAATGTTGCACGTTTTCTCAACTGGTGGATAATATCTCCAGATTGATCAATGTCGGAATATACTGTAATTTCTCTTGTGGGACGGTTCTGTTAAACCGAGTTTGGAGTTTCTAGTGACACTGAACTTATTAGTGATTTTACCAGGGGACTGGTTGATTCCTTACACATAGTCCGGTTAGTTCAGCTAATTTTGAGACAGCATTTTATTTTTAACAGACTGTCTTTGTCTAGTTTCTTTAACCCTTGAAGTCCTTATTTGGCCTTTTAACAAAATATGTAAAAAGAAAAAACAGAAATACATTTTTGATATTAATCATTTATTACTATGCGATAAGTCAAGATTATTTTTTGTGTAGTCTTCTGCCCTCTGTTATCAGGTATATCTGATTGTGTACAATAGGATTTTGAGCAACGTTTTTACCATTAAATTATGCAAAAGGTGTCAGACGCAAAACATTTCAGAAACCGTATGTATCAAATATGATACATTTGGCATTACAGGGTTAACAATATATTGATGGCTATGATATCTTCATCTATGGAAAAACTGTTTCTGATTATTTAATTCAAAATTCTTCTAACAGAATGACTGTAATCTGTAGGGTTCCTAAATAATCTTTCCGAGACAGTACTCATCAGATAAATGCTGCTGTCATCACTAACGTCCTAAAACTAAGAAGCCATCTGTGTGTGAGGGAGATAGGATTGACTTGGAGTAAAGACTAGACTTCCAGATAGGGATCAGGAAGATTCGTCAGTGACCGGATAACTTTTATTTAACCTCTTTTTTTACCACCAAGCTTTTTCAGGTCCTATTTTACAACCAAAATATTTTATCTACAGTGCTGCTTGAATTATAAAGGATTTATTTTGATGTACAATAACATAAAGATGCTTTTTCGGTGTTCTACTTACTTAATGTAAAGTGCCATAGCTGGATTAAAGGTGGTTCCTTTTACATGTCACATTAGAATATGTTGACCATGACATGATCTGAGTTTGCTGCATTAGAAATTCTTCTGAGGTCTGGGACAGACTCCTAAAATATTTAGTGAGAGACAGGCACAGATAATAAGTAGGACTTATTTTGTCAAAATGGCATTGCATTCGGAACAATGGCCCCACTGTCGAAAGAGTCACTGTGTAATTAAAGTTTTTAACAGATTGAATGGTTGTCTGGCTCCATTAGACTGCGTTATCATCATACAAGAGCTCCTAAAAAAAACCTTGTGTTGAGGTCTGTAGTAAAATGTCTCCAGAGGAGGATTAAACTAAATGTTTCTGTTTTTTCTTTGCAGCTCGAAAGGAGCATGCAGAAACTTCCTATCAGCTGATGACTGTGCAAAAAAGGTGTGCTAATTTAACTCTTACATACAGCAGCTTTTTTCATTTCAACACAGTCTATTAAAGCAGTAATTTAAAAAAGCAGTAGTTTCTTGTACACTGATAAAGGAAATAGCACCCTGATTTCTGCCATATTTGTTTTATTATATGCCCCCCAAAAATTTATAATATAAACTTTATCAGAAAATTCACCCCTCCTAACATATTCATCATAGCGTATAGGTGAAAAAATCACTATTTCTCTAGTAAATACATCTTTATAACAAGCTTGGTCTGCAGCTGCTGTTTAGAAATAAAAAAAAATGTCTAAAAACCTATTTAAAGACAAAAGCCAAAGCAGTTCTTGCTTAGACTCTTTTTTTTAATCTTTTTTATACAGCAGTGATAAAGGTCACACCATTATAACTTAGTATCAGTGAAACAGGGATGGATATTTGAGGTTCTTTGACTCAGTGTTTATTATTTTTAGTGATTTCAAAACTCCTCTTGCCTTTTTTTAATTTCCTTTCACCACTTACTGTACAGATGTTGCTTTTTTGTTGGTTGTTTGTATTTATTTTTTCAGTTTTTTTGTTTTTAGACATCCATCTAATCTTCTATTTAATTCTTATTTGGTATTCGTATCCACTGGCAGATCCTATTTTTTATTTTATGTTGTGGCCATTTAATTTTTTTTTTTGACTATTCAAGTTTTCTTGATTTATTTATTTTTTTTAATCTAATATCTGCTTATCGCCTTCTTTTTTCTCAGTTTGTAACTTTTTGTTAAGATTATGTTCGTATAAGTCAGACCTCTGAAGTAAAGCATCAAAATACATGTCAGTCAGTAAAATCTAGTTAACTATAAATTACCAACATCATTCTGGGTGAAAACATAGTTTTACTGTAGTGATCTGACACTCAATATCTTTATTTTCTTGTTTTGTGGCTGCATGGGAAGTGTCCTCTTGTCCTCCCATTTAAAAGAGGGACTAAAATATTGTGTGCCATATTACTGTATATTTAGGGCCAAGGGGTACGAAGAGAAAAAAACCTGTAAATTTTTAAGGAAAGTTATTTAAACTAAAGTTTATTTGATTGTTGCTTAGACTCTTGTTTTTTTTTTTTTTTTACAACAGTAATGCTGGTTACACCATGATAACAACATTAGTGAAGCAGTGATGGATAATAAAGGTGCTTTGGCTCAGTGTTTATTATCTTTAGTGATTTGAAAGAATTCTTGTAGAATTTTGTGAAAAAAAAGAACTTAATATAGATTTTCTTCCATATATTAATGAAATATATTTATTATATTTATGTACGCTTCTTTCAAGTAAAACATTGATTTACTTGAAAGTTTTTAAGGCATCTTCATCAGGCTTAATAATAAGTGTTTAGAGTGAATAATAAAACCATTTTGTTCTCATTTTTCACTGTGATCAGTTTTCAGGACGTTGCCCTATACTTCGGCCTCAAACCCAAACCTGGAGAGACGGAGGTGACAACAGGTCACCTCTTCATGCTCTGGTTTGAATTCTGTGCTGACTTCAAGGCCAGATGGAAGCGGGAGAACAAAAGCATCTCAAAACAGAGGTTTGTATAGATGTTATATTTTCAGTTCACATTCTTTCAGCTCCATTTTAATTTGTTATTTTGGTCATCCGCTAAACTAGTATGTGACATTGTGAGGTTTTCATTGTACCATTCTGCAAGACATTTATCAGGACAGTGTCCTGATAAATGTCTTGCAGAATGGTACAAAAAGGATTGGATGTCTTGAGGACACTGTCCTTGGTCATAATCCAATCCTTTTTCCAAACCATTCCTTCTAATGTCTTCTACGTGTCCACAAGTCCTCTAAAACAGACTTCTGATGCCTCAAACTAACAGCTTGTTTCTGCAACAAATGCTCCAGTTTGACCAATCCATAAACTATTTAAATCCATTTAAACAGGTTAAAAGAAGCTCAGATGTCAGTGAAGAGGCTCACTGGAGAGAAAAAGGTGGAGACAAGAAAGATCAACCCCAACAGTCTGGTAAAACTGAAGTAAAATTCAGACATTTAAAAATGCATCTCTTAGTAACATGCAAATCAAGACAATTAATCTGATCTAAAAGGTATGTTTAGGCTACTGCTCTTGTTTTCACTGCTAATTTCATAAATTTCTTCCAACAGAAGGAGCGACTGCGTCAGAAAGAAGCTCAAGTGACTTCAACTTAAAACAATCCTGACTTAAAATATTTAGATATCCTCATAAAACTGGAGCTGACTAATACAGTTGTTGACCAGGATGAAAAATTTACATTTTCTTGGTGGACCAGAAATTGTTATATTTGTTCTTTCATGTCACCACAACTATAACTGGAAGTTCACTATAAAAAAATGCAGTTGGATAATTTGTTACTGTTAAAGACGTTTTATGAACTAAAATACTCATTGCATGGATTTTTTTTTTATTACAAATAAAAACCAACATTGGACAATAATTATGAGAAAGTGTCTTTAATGATTTTTTTTATTTACAAGTGGCTTTAAGACACAAAGACAAATCATTGATGGCCGTCACATTGGGTAGCATCAGGTGTGGGGATAAAATAATTGAAATAAAAATAACCCAATAAATTACATGATTTAAGAAATAACTAAAAATGACTAAAATTAATTCATCTGTCCATCCAGGAATCACACCCAGAACCTTGTTGCTGCAAGGCAACATTGTTACCGACTGCTGCACTGTGTTATTTTAGTAATGTTTCAATGCACAGGTTATATATTTCTTCCTTATACACAGAAGTTGATGTGATGAATTTATGTTACGTGTTTAGTTTGGGGTGATCATTGCAGAATTTATGCAATCCATAAATGAAATGTGATTGCAAGCAAAAAGAAAAATACACCAGGCAACACAAATAAATTTAAAGTTATATTCTACATAAGGGAATTACTGCTTACTTGTCCAGCTGAAAACCAGATCATCAACAATAAAGACATAAAAGGCCTTTGCTAAATAATCTGGGCTATCAGTCTGCTGCATCCAAATGTGATGAAAAGTTGAGCAGATGGGAAAAGTCTTTACCATCCAAACGTGAACATACAATCTGTGACAAAGTTCTATAAAGTTCTATAAATGTGACAAAGTCCTATAAAGTGCTCAACTGGAACCGACTCTTTGGAGCCATAAGCAAGATCTTAGTCAATGTGGTGCATTTTTTCCCCGCAGATGACCAAAGAAAACATTTACTTAGTCCTATTTTAAGGAGTCCAATATAAAATGTTCATTAAAGTTCCCTTCTCCGTTGCCCCAACTCTAACATGGAAATTTCCTTTCTTTTTCATTTTTCTCTCCTTGAATCAAAGTGTAATCCAGCGGGGGTTCAATCAGTTTTAATATTAACGCAGCGGCACTGTTTTACGCGTTGGATCCGCTTCTTTCGCGTACTGGGCGTCTGTCCCGGGCAGAAGAGGGTGTATGTAACGGTGCTGAATGTTTTTGGTTTGCAAGCGGAGCAGGACTGAAAGATGCTGATCCCATCATGCTGGGAATTCCGAGGGATGTAGAAAGAGTTGCACTGTCCGTAACAGAAGCGGTTGATAATGCTGCGGCTCAGGCAACCTTCCTCCTGGATTGTCTGCTTCAGCGGCTGAGTCTTGCACCAGTCCAGCCGCAGATATCTGCGCTCTGTCACGTGTAGCGCCTCCTGGCTGGACTCCAGGATCTCATCCGTTGAGGCTATGGAAGCGGCACCGCGAGAGAAAAGCGCCCCGATGGGTGACTGTAGACACCCCTCTGATTTATTTGGTGCGTATTTGTTCGGATACGGGAAGGCTCCTTGGAATGTATCGGTGTCTGCACTGCTCGGAGGTGATAATAGCAGAGCCAGGACTGCTTTGAAGATCAGCCATGAATAAGAACGCATCATTGCAGCTGAAAAGGAAACAACAATCAGGCTCCGATGGAGAGCATTTTACGCACAACTTTTACGCACGTACCGTACATCAAATTAAAAATGTTATTCCAAAATCCAGGAAATATTCTGTCAGTGTAACTCCATTTACCTGCTGTGTGTTCAATCCCCAAAGAAAACTTTGTCCTGTCAAACAGTCAGCAAGATGTGCTCCCATAAGAGCCTCTGATGTGGCTTTAGAAAGAACCCCTCCGCCCCTCCCAACCGCAAACCTCACTTTATCTGTATGGAAACGGGAAGGTAGAAGAAAAAGAAAAAAACAACAACAAACGTTTCCAGACTTTGTCAATGCAGATAAGTCGTTTATTTGACTTTACAGAACAAAAACGGAACACAAACATTTTGACAAGATGCAATGAACAAGATAAGTTACTGCACCCTGAAGAGACTCCAAGCTGCAGAATATTCTGCAAGTAGTTGCCATGGTGAAGATGTTCATAAGCATATTTCAATAAAACAAAGCCAGACTTAAGAATATAACTTTACATTTGAAGAACATGTGACTCAGGTTGGGACAAAAAAACAAAAACATTAAATGCATTTAAAACTGATCTCTGTCCAAATATAACAAAGATGGAGTTGAATTAACCCCCAAATATATCAAATCTTTATACATCTGTGAAAAGAAGAAGAAAAAAATGATTTTATTCTGCACTTTGGGGGTCATATCTGTAATTATAGGATATTAGAATACCAGTTTTTAGACTCTACCCACTTCAGATGGCATTAATCATAATTTATCTGTTATCTGGATGTTTTAGTCTCTTTTTCTTTTTAGAATTCTGTTTAAAACTCCAAATCAACTTAATGTCTTGTTTAGGGTTAAATATATTTTCTTCACAGCATTTCTATCAAAGCATTTGCCAAATAAGTACAAATGTTCAACAAGACATCTGTTAATAATTCTTTTGTATGAAAATAAGACCAATTAAATGCATCAAAAATTATGGCAAGGTTATATTTTTGAAGTATATGAAATACAACATCAACACTTCCAGCATTTGTACCAAACACAAAATCCCAATAACTAATGATAGTAAGTCTAAACATTTATTAGAGATATATATTTATATTTTCTGAGTTCGAACTCCTATATATCAGATTTTGGGTGTACTGGGAGCTGTGGTGGTTGATGCTTGGTTCTCTTCTTCCTCTGAGAAATTGGGAACAGATTTCTTGGCGACCACATTGTCCAGCCTCTGACCCAGTAAATAGGGGTTGACGCTCTGTGGAGGCAGACATACTGGTTTATAAAACAGCAAAATTATATTGAAAATAAAAGATCTGTGTCTCTAATTCAACATAATCCATTATGTATCTAGACCCACATTTATAGTCAAAGTAATAATTAGATATTTGTCTTTTGGGACTTTTCTTTCACAACCTTTCTGTTAGCATCAGCACCTCTCTGAAATAATTCTCATCTTCATAAACTGGTTGATGAAACTTTGTTTCCTACGGAAGAGGATTAGGGCCACTGAAAAAAAAATAGTTAACTGATTTTTAAATTTTATTTCAGTTTAAGATGGGAAAAAGTCAGAATTCTGACTTTTTTCTCAAAATTCTGACAGATAAACATGTTAGCATCAAGCCATGTCTGTTTTAGAGACTAGCTCTCTTGTTTTAATGACCTTCTGCTCCTCCATTAATGAGGGGACCCTTTGGGCATGTAAAAAGTTGCCTAATTCCGTCATTTTCCACCAGTGTGTCGTACGAACGTATGAAATAGTGTGCATAACTTTTTGTACGATTTCATACGCACTCATAATGAGAATATGTTGAATCAGTTGTGATGCATCACTCTCCCATCGAAACACAAAGAAGCAAAGTTTTAACCACCTACTGTAGCTGTTATTTTGGGTGTGAATTTTAAGAATTCGGGGATAATCTTTGTCTTAATAATCCATCTACTTTGTGAAATGCATCAGTACCACAGGCGGTTTCAAGAGACTGATGCCACCACCACGTTTGACGATGTTCCCCCATGTTTTAAAGCCCTAAACTGATTTTGCAAACAAACGTTCTCCTTATTATCGTGGTCCCGTAGCTAAACGATTAGTAGCTCACTGTCGTTCAGTCAGAACCTTTAACTTTCCTCCAGGAGACATTTGGTTTCCTGGTTTCGATGCAGCTAGATCATAGAATTGATACTGTTAATGCATCATCTTTCAATGTCAAACAGGAGGGAGTTATTTTTTTGTTTTTGGTCTGCAGTTAAACTTTCAAACAATCTTCCTTTCATGTAAGAATTACATGATTTGGTGAAAAAAGTGAAAACCTGGACCCAGAAAGATTTGTAAACAGAGCGATGTCTCCAAACTTAACTGGAATTTGAATAAAAACAGCAGGATACCATTAAGCTTATGTTTTGAGCCTAAGCTTAAACATCTTTAAAAGCAAAGGCTGTGCTTACAGCTTTTGCACCATATATTTGTACAGAGCTATGCACATCTTAAATCATTTTACCCTGGAAAAAGAAAAGTTCATGTACAACCTCATTGCAGTGCTGAGTGTAACCTTCTGACTTTAAAATTGGTTTAATTAGGTAGTAATCTACACTCACCGGCCACTTTATTAGGTACCCCATGCTAGTAACGGGTTGGACCCCCTTTTGCCTTCAGAACTGCCTCAATTCTTCGTGGCATAGATTCAACAAGGTGCTGGAAGCATTCCTCAGGGAGTTTGGTCCATATTGACAAGATGGCATCACACAGTTGCCGCAGATTTGTCGGCTGCACATCCATGATGCGAATCTCCCGTTCCACCACATCCCAAAGATGCTCTATTGGATTGAGATCTGGTGACTGTGGAGGCCATTTGAGTACAGTGAACTCATTGTCATGTTCAAGAAACCAGTCTGAGATAATTCCAGCTTTATGACATGGTGCATTATCCTGCTGAAAGTAGCCATCAGAAGTTGGGTACATTGTGGTCATAAAGGGATGGACATGGTCAGCAACAATACTCAGGTAGGCAGTGGCGTTGCAACAATGCTCAATTGGTACCAAGGGGCCCAAAGAGTGCCAAGAAAATATTCCCCACACCATGACACCACCACCACCAGCCTGAACCGTTGATACAAGGCAGGATGGATTCATGCTTTCATGTTGTAGACGCCAAATTCTGACCCTACCATCCGAATGTCGCAGCAGAAATCGAGACTCATCAGACCAGGCAACGTTTTTCCAATCTTCTATTGTCCAATTTCGATGAGCTTGTGCAAATTGTAGCCTCAGTTTCCTGTTCTTAGCTGAAAGGAGTGGCACCCGGTGTGGTCTTCTGCTGCTGTAGCCCATCTGCCTCAAAGTCCGACGTACTGTGCGTTCAGAGATGCTCTTCTGCCCACCTTGGTTGTAACGGGTGGTTATTTGAGTCACTGTTGCCCTTCTATCAGCTCCAACCAGTCTGGCCATTCTCCTCTGACATCAACAAGGCATTTCCGCCCACAGAACTGCCGCTCACTGGATATTTTTTCTTTTTCGGATCATTTTCTGTAAACCCTAGAGATGGTTGTGCGTGAAAATCCCAGTAGATCAGCAGTTTCTGAAATACTCAGACCAGCCCTTCTGGCACCAACAATCATGCCACGTTCAAAGTCACTCAAATCACCTTTCTTCCCCATACTGATGCTCGGTTTGAACTGCAGGAGATTGTCTTGACCATGTCTACATGCCTAAATGCACTGAGTTGCCGCCATGTGATTGGCTGCTTAGAAATTAAGTGTTAACGAGCAGTTGGACAGGTGTACCTAATAAAGTGGCCGGTGAGTGTAGAAGTGATTTGGTGCTTAGAGAAAATAAATGAAAAGCATTTTAGTGTCCTTCCTCAGACAAATTTCCCTAAAAGTGAAAAAGTGTTTAATTTAAAAAGTGTTAGAAATATTATACCCTTTTTCTTCTCTTTGGTCCTCCCTTCAGCTTCTGGTATAGAAGCTCTTTGTTCTGTGAGAAGACAAAATAATCATTAATAACAAAAAAAAATAAAGTTGCATATTTCTGGTTAATAGTATGGCCCCATGCTCCCAACTAAAATAAAACAAGATAAAAATACTTTTAACAGGTCATAAAAAGTTCTAAACTAAAAGGTATCAAACTAAAAACAGAAATCGAAATGTAAAAATAAAATAGTCTGCTTAATGTGCAAAAGCATTGGTCTGTGTCTAGTTCTACTTTGCAGAATAAACAGAAACCACCATGTTGTACAAATAACATCTCAATCTAGAGCACATTTCCTGTTTTTTGTCCAGTTTAAGTTAATAGGAAAAAAAATAAAACAGAAATAAATAAAGAGAAAAATCTGATCTGATAAAAACCAATCAACTTCTGATCAGAAAATACGTTATTTTGTGTGTTTTGGAAGTATTTGCTACATTTGTACTCACCCACTTCCCCCGAGCTGAATAGTCATGCTCAGGGTCAAACAGATGCTGGTGTTTCTGGAACTCCCTGCTGAACTCAGCTGTGTCTGGAGCGTTTTCCAAGCATCCATCTGCTGCTGTGAGCACATAAAGACAAAAATAGTGTTCTGCTTACTGAATAATGAGAACAACAGATGGACAACAGGTAACACTAGAGAGATTCTATAAATTATTAATTGTTCTTATTTTATCCCTACAAAAAAAAGCGGTTTAACAAATCAGATTTGGAGTTATTTCCTTAAGCCACTTGTAACAAACTTAGATATATGCTTTGGGTCATTTTCTGTTTAGAAGAGCCATTTGTTTTTACCTGTAAAATTCCTAACTTAGATCTTAAGATCTTTCTTCCATACAGTATTTCCAGATGTTTTTCTTGATGCCATCTATTTTAGAACTGCTCCATTCCCTCTGGCAAATCACCCTCATACCCCGTGTTGCGACCATGGTTTTTCTTAAGTATTTAAGGTTCTTCTTTCATTTTCCCCACAATGTTGCATTTGGTATCAAAGCAAAACCTTTTTTTTCTTCACGAGACAACAGGACATATCTCCAGATTTATCTTCGATTTAAAGCTTTTTACGTCGTCGTCAGAGCGATGGCGTCTTCAGGTCTGAATGGAAGAATTATTGGTCAGATTAATGATTTCAACTTCAGGCATCTGGAAATCTTCCCAAAGGATAAAACGGACTTTTGAAACTTCCCAATTCTCTTATTGATAATATAGCTACAGATTTAATAGAATTTTTCCATGGTTTTACATTAAAGGCAGTGTGTTTGAGGCATGTATCAAATTTTAGCCTGTCTGGAATTAATTAATCAAACCAAATAATTGAAATGTTATGATTTATCAAATAGATCAATATCTTTATTGGGCTTTTATAAATTGTATAACGGTCCAGTAATCTTACCATCATTTAGTAACTTTAAGAAAGTAGTGCTAAAAAAGTTACACTATACTGACAGTATTGGGTGACATCAAATGAATAAGTTTGGATGTCCTGATCACTTCCATGGCTGCATGTGTATAAAGTTTGGTGTGAAGAAATTTTACTGGCATGCAAAGAGTCCTGGTCTGAAACTTCTAGAAGAAGGTTTGGATGAATAAGAGTGGAAACTGCATCTCAGGTTTACTTACTGAGACAGTGGACTCTTATAACCTTGGTCTTCACCTGAATAACAAACTGGACTGGACTCACGACACTGAGGCTTTTTACAAGAAGAGTCAGAGCAGACCCTTCCTGCTGAGGAGACTGAGGTCTTTTGGAGTGCAGGGTGCGCTCCTTAAGACCGTCTATGACTCTGTTGTGGCATCAGCCATCTTTAATGGAAAAGCTCAGTGCAGGATGTGGGAAACAGATGGATCCAAACTAAATTAACATCTGTTGCTGAACTGGAGAGCTCCTTCAGTGACAGACTGCTGTACCCAAAGGCACCTGCGAGCGTTATCGCAGATCCTTCCTCCCAGCAGCTGTAAGACTCTATAACCACCACTGTTCCCAACAACCTCAATAAGTTGTTGTATTGATGCTGAGTTTTGCACAGTCTTTGTCTTAAGGGCTGGTTATCCTCCCGCAGCGGTGTGTCCCAGTGAGCTTGTTGCAGATATTTTACATTTATGCCCAAAATTGAAGCGTGGTGTAGGCTATATTATTCCACGGCAATACGCAAGAGGGACAATGACGAACTAGCTGTGTATCTAGATTCGGTCGAGGCAGTGAAGAAGTGGGGGCAAGTTTGTTCGACAATGGAGGGACATGAGGGTGAAAAAGAGCGGGGATCAACGCTGAAAAAAGGGTGCGTTCTATCACACATTGCTCTTCTAGCTGGTCCATCTAAACGAGTCATTTTTCACAATGGCGGTCATACAAAGAAAACAAGCCGGTAAGGTACCAAACAGGAAATAGGCATAGTGTAGAGCGGATGTAGATTTGACCAATCAGAGACCTCCTGTCTGCAGCTCTGACTGCAATAACCTACAATTTTGGAGAGGTGCACCAGAGTGTCTGAGGCAGGGGGCATATCTGCATTAATACCAACACACTGCAGAAAACCTGGTTTCTGGGTATAAATCAGTTAAATAACTTGCTGCTGTAATTTCATTTTTTTTTTTTTTTTTTTGCACATCTCTGGTGTTGCTATTTTTCACATATCCATTAAAGCAAAAATATCCACAGCTGTTGTTACTTTTTATTATTGAGATACAGATTATTGTATTGTAAAACACTGTAAAGTACAATATGCTGTTTTCTTATGTGTTATTTTTATACACTTTTCTAAGGTACACATTGTGTGGCCACTTCTACTATAACCTTTGCTGTTTTAAACACCACAATTTTCCCATTGTGGGAAATTAAATGGATTTTCTATTCTATTTAAATGTTTAAAACACAAATAAATCATGTGGTAAATGTTTAAAGCATAGTTAAAGTTGATAATGCTGGGAACAGGGTCTTAGGTATCCATAAAAGTATAGAAAGAAATACTTTCTTTGCAATGTAATTTAATCCCTTTTATGTTTCTAGATCAATTTTAAATGTTGTTGTCTTTGCAAATGTTTCCTCTGCTGGTTCAAGAGCCATCGGGTAGGAAGATTAAACGGGTCTTCTACCTGTTTTTCCCAGTGGACAGGGGTTTGGAGGGTCCGGGTAGCTGTGGTCGTCACTAAAGTCTTTGGGAACATTGTCGCCTGTCAGCTCTGCCACAATGTTGGGGATGTTGCCATAAGGACCCAGGTGCTGCAGGCCTTCATGAGCACCACCTAGTGGAAACACTTGGTATTACACCCGTGAGCTTGATTTTTTATTTTATTTTTTTTTTTTTTACACAAACTTGAGGCTTATTTACCAAACACTGGGAATCAATCTGAGTGTGATGATGCTACTTCTGGGTCAAAAGACAACATAAATATGACAGACTAATCAAAACTGGCAGGTAAAGCACAGATAAAATTGTGATAAAGAATGTCTTGTCATATAAACAATGTGTCTGCTGATTTTTTTTTTTTCCTGTGGAGAGCCTGTTGGCTAATAAACAAATTATATATATATATATAGATATATATATATATATATATATATATATATATATATATATATATATATACACAATTGTTTATTTGTTCCAAATGAAAATATAGGCTTTAAAAAAATCTAATCAGTCAATGATTACCCTGAATGCTCTGAGGCCCGACGATGTTTGTGGCCTGATGTGCGGGGTACTCCACTCGGGGCCGAGCGATGCCCAGCTGCTCCATGACGCCGTGCAGCAGCCGCTGGATCTCAGCCTCTGACACCTGGTTCACCGCCGTCCGCGGACTGCGGGCTGCGGCTCCTCCGAGCTGCAGGAACAGGTTTAGTCCGAGCAATAAGAGCCGCACCGCGGATCCAATTTCTGCCATCTGTTGGGGGTGAAGTGCTCCATTAACATCTTTGGACAGATGACGCATAATCAGGAGCAAACAGATTGTTTCCTCATCACATCAATGAGATGATCAACAGCAAGCCTTCCATATAGCACCATGGTGTTGGATATTGTTTTTAAAATGGACCAACGTGATGCGCCATTCTATGAACAGCAGGAATAACCCCGAAAAAAACCGAAAACATTAAATAGTCCAGTCAAAGGGTTTTAATATGTTTTATATAGCTTATAAAATAAACGAAAGCACTAAAAACAGCAATAACTTGAACAACTTAAATGTCTGGTTTTCCTTACCTTGGATGCGTAGATGGAGGGAAATGGTTACTCCATCAAGCAAGTCATCATAAAAAGAGGGTTCTCCGTTTTTCTTTCAAAGTAAAATTGTATATGCTGCGTCATCTTAAATTTTAGATCACGGGAAGAAAATATTACAGCTCTAAAACAAGCATTTGTATGCGATGACATATGCATCAAGGCCTGAACACCCCCGTTTAATCAATGCCAGTATTAATTATAACAAGAGACAATCCTGTTTTAGATTTAAAAAAGGTGCACTGTATCCTAACATTTGTCCGACTTAGAAAAAAAAAATCGTGAATAAAAAAAAAGAAAAAAAAAAAGAAAAGTAGGACATATTTAGGCTTTTGAGCCTTTAAAGTTGTTACGTACAAAATTGTGTTTTATTTTGAAAGAAGAGGTCTCATTTCCGATAGTATGCAACGTGTAGAAACGCTTTACGGATTAGATGCAGTAGCTAAGAAACCAGAGTTCCTTTTCCCCTGCTGGTTGTGCAGTTTTGATCAACTACAGATTTTTGCTGACTTGTCAGATCGACAAGTTATTGTTAGTGTTAACGTTATTAAATAAATTAAATAAGAGCAACAGATGCAAAAGAGCAAAAAATGTGACTAAATTATATTAGCCTTTTCTTTAATTTCCTATATAGGCCCACAGCACCTATTTTAACCTTTCAAATTTTGTCATGGTAGGATATAATTAAAATATGTTCTACTGCTGGCAAGAAAAGATGATTAAATAGGGGTTCACACCTACAGTCTGTGAGAAGTGCAAAAATACACACCAGGGGTTTTGGTTTTTATAATTGAAAGCTTTGCTTTATTTGAAGTTTTTTTTATTATTATTATTTTTTTAAGAAGGTTCCAACTTGCCAGCATCATCCATTTCTGTCAAGTAATAAGGTCTAGAAGGAAACGCTGTCTGGATTCAGCACAGCAGCCCACACTACCTGATTTAAGTTCATTTGCTCCACTTATCTGCAACAAACTCCCAGAAGATTAAAAGTGCTGAAAGCCTGAGTTCTTTAAAGTCAAAAAACTGCCTTTGACTGTTTTTTTAACCGATATATCATTACTTTAAGACTGCAGTAAAAGAGTTGATTTGAGGTGCCCGGATGCCACAATTCAGGTTTCCTTAACTTAACAAAAATAAATAGAATAATCGTTGTTTATTTTCTAGTATTATGCTTTTGGTCAAGTGCATCAAATGCACTGACATTTGTTGATGTAACATGATAAAGTTATCATATATATATTTATTTATTATTATTATTATTATTATTATTATTATTATTATTATTAATATTTTTATTATTTTATTTTATATTTTTAAGAGAATTCATATTTGCAAAATACTAGATTTGGAAGAATGCAAGCCTTGTTGACCGAGTCAAGAATAGGAAAACAATAGTGATACATTACAACATTTATTTAAAAAACAACAGATAGTGATAAAAACGGTATTCAGAAATTGACATGGAACATACAGTAACATTTCATAGATCATGGTAAAGAACGCCTCCTCCAGTTTGTGAATTGCAGTCTATCCATCGCACTGAGCACAGAAATCTTGTGCGCATTTTTGGAACCTTCCAGTGCAGCTGCAGGTCTGAAACCTGGATCTAAAAACACTTGCGGATCAATACTTTATATGCAAAACAAAATTAAAACTCTAAAACCATGTTTACCTGCAATAGGCATGCAAATCCTAAACGGCTGAATATTGGGGAAGGACATCAGGCCAAGGCTTCTTCTAAGCTTGGGTCCATCTCCTGATGTGGAGCTTTGAGTCGGAAGAGAGGCTGCAGGCCTTACCTTTGGTTTACTCTGACTCCAGGAAGAAGTCTTCATGGGTGCTTATAATAAGAAATTAAAAGCAAATTTAAATTAATTTGTGTAACATTTAAATGTCCAAGCAATAACTGCTAGTATCTTACCTTTTAAGCTGTGTCTCTTTCCATTTCCCTTCTTCTTGAACGCATCCTTTAGAGGATGGATATTCATTAAAAAATCCATGCCATCTATAACGTGTTTTGGAATCACGCCTAAATGGAAATTGTATAAAACAAAGTGAGGAGAGACATCTCTTAAGGAAATCCTACATAAGTGAATTATTCTGTTACCAAATATATGAGGATGCTCCACAAAAGTACGCAGGACAAGAACTCTAAGTTCAAGTCGTCCTTCAGACATTTCCGCCTTGTTTGGAGGCGGTAAGAGACAGGGAAGGAAAACTGTGGCCAGATTAGAGCTGGTCATCAAGTTGTCAGAGCATCTGAGAAGGGAACAAGGAGACAGGACAAAACAGAATTTCCTATTGTCTTAGATTTTTTTTACTTTATGCAGAATTGTTTTACAAGACCTCATAAACCAAGACTAAAAATGTGGTTTAAGTGGAAAGAGGACCAATATGTTTGCCCAAGAAACTCATGCATGAACTGTTGACATTTTTCCTATCAAGAAGTTTGCAAATGCCTTAAAAGCAATTCCAACAGAAGGACCTTTAGTTTTCCATTCCAATGAGTGCGCTTCTAGTTTAATCAATATATGGTGGTGAGGTTTCACGTTTTCCTCCCCATTCAGTTCACTTCCAAGCACGAACAACAAGATTAACATAACAATAATCTGTTTTAGGATCCAAATTTTTCATATCGTTTGTATTGTTCCATACCTTTGAGCAACTTTGTGAAGGAAGTCGAACAGATAGAGCAGACAGGAAAAGTTTCTGGCTGGAAGCAGACAGGAGAGTAGCTGGAGAGCTGCCATCCTTTCCTTCGGGTCAGGCAGTGTCTGGGCGTTCAGCAGGGCATCATGCAGCTCAAGGGGAAACAGTGGCTCAGGAAGCTCCCTGCAAAACTGTTTCACAAGGGTGGCGACATCATAGGGGAGAGCCGTGGACAGAGACTCCTCCCCACGATTCAGCTTAGCCTAAACCAGGCAAAAAAAGAATATTTTTTTGTGCATTTTTGCTGTACAAGATAGTAAATAGGTACAATAGTTCCTGGTTTTCTCCTTCAACCATATATGATAGGAATAGAGGATACATCTTACTCTGAGGACCTTGATGCGAGTAAGAGAGCCTGGTTTCCTGAACAGGCCCACAGTGCCAACGCGGTCCAACAAAAGAGAGCAAGCATCCACTAAGAAACTAAGACATACAATTTGGAGTCAGACAGGTTGAACCATTTAACCCAGCTTTATAGTACCGTCTGCATCCTCTTACCAAGGTACGAGTCCATATTCTGGAATGTATCGTCTGGCCAGATTATCCAAAGGAACCCCGAACACCTTTGCTCCACTGTTTATCCATCTCCCTTTATTTCTCTTAAACTTCTTTACAGAAATCCCATAAAGAACTTGAAGATGAAATCGAATCACATTACTTTCTGAAATTTTCATTTCGCAAGAAAACTGATATAAAACAAGCAATTTCTAGTTTGTCAAGTAGAAGCAGCTGAGACAATTCAGATGAAGACGCTTAAGAATGCTCATCAGTATCACCTGGAGAAGAAGAGGATTGCTGTATTCAGGTGACAAGGAAAAAATTGTTCAAATAAGTTATCATCTTAAACTGGAGATAAATCTTTATCTTACCTTTTAAAAGTTTTACAGTCCAATAAAAAAAAATGCTGTCAAATAAAATGAGTGAAACTGTGTCATTTATTTCTATAACTCACATTCAGTGATTAGAAAGACATGATTCATAACTTTGAGGGACTTATGTGTAAAACAATTAAACTAAGCACACCCAGTGGAAAATATTAAATATACACAAAAATGTAGAATGCTAAATTTAATTTAAAAACATTTTCATGTGATTTTCTAAAGGCTTGATTGGTCAACAGTTCTTTTACAGTAATTATATCCCTGCTTTTTCTACTTTCTTTAACCTACTGCCTTTACTGTTTTAGCCAGTCAGCTGTTATAGGAATTAATATATTTTGAGCCCTAACCCAACTATCCATGCATTGCCACTAACTGGTAGACATAATGTATTCTAGTATTTGAACATTTCCTATCAACTACTTTAAATACTCAGTTATCAAAGCAGGAACTACAGTAGGTGTGAGTTTGTTTGGCTGTTCCCTTCAGTGTGAAGTCATAACATACTTTCTATGATCTTACTATGGATACCCTGTATCAAAAATACAGACTTTTCATACAGCTATACCACAGAGGGACATTAAAGATGGAATTAAAATGAAATGTTATGATGAAGAGGGCCAAACGACCATCTCCTGCCATGTGAAAAGTTTGCTCATTTTTATAATATTTCAATTTTGGTAATTTTGTAGAAAACCATTTCAGTTTCAATAAGGAAATGCTTGCCATCTTTGAAAGTTTGATTAGTACCTGCTTCAGCAACAGAATAATTAAATATTTTAATAATAGTTTCTCGTAGGGAGATTTAGTCATGTAGCTTCCAACAGATGTATCATTAACTGGTCACTCACTTATTTTCTATCATCAGGATCAGGTTTCATTGTATTCTTCTGGCTCCAAGTGGGATGGGGGAAAAATTTACCATCAAATAAATATGAAACATTGTAAAACTATCTATAGATTGATTGATTTAAAACTGATAATAGTTACTAAAAGGGTATGAAATGCTTTGTTTGGAACGTATGAATAGACAAAGATGTTTCTGACTTTTCAATCGGTTTATTTATTTTGGTACGTTTTTGTGTTTTTGCATTGGGGCTTCACCTAAAAGAATTATTTTTTTTTTATCCAATCACTGATGTTTAAACATCTGAATATGGAATATATTTTAAAATGCTGCTTTTTAAAATCAAATAACTACTTTAACATTGAAAGAACATCTTGTTAGCATTAACTTAAGAAATGAGCTGGTGGCTGAAATACCTTTCTTTAAAAGCAAACAAGTAAAGTTGGTGGAGTGGTCACTATTATTACAAAAATGTTTTTAAGCATTTTAATTCTATCAGGCACCATTTTTTTGTATCAAGAACAGTTCAACTGAAACATCATTAGTTCAACTTTTTTATTTTCTTTAGTCAAACTGTTTTTAATATTCACTTTTCGTTTCTGCATTTTGTATTTTATTTTTTTTTTTCCTATTTGCTTTGATTCTGTTTTATTTTCCTATATCTTAATCATCGAAAGCACTTTGCATTTTCTTTGTACTGAATTATGCTATACAAATAAATTTGCCTTGCCTTGCCTTGTCTTGCACTTGTATGAAACAATAAAGGCTACCAAAAAATAATTCTACAAAGACAAAAACTTCCCGTCTCTGTATTGCATTTAAAAAACTATTTATTATGACAACAGTTCATGTATATACATCACAAAACAGTAGAAATAACAATATGGAAAGTAAACTAGTTTGGTTGATGGTTTGTTTTTGGTTTGGCGGTTTAGAAGCACTTCCTGTGGACGATGGAGGGGCCGGCCTCATCGTACTCCTGCTTACTGATCCACATCTGCTGGAAGGTGGACAGAGAGGCCAGGATGGAGCCACCGATCCAAACGGAATATTTCCTCTCAGGAGGAGCAATGATCTGCAAGGAGTGAGGAGGAGATTTAAAAAAAAGGGAGTGACCATAGAGGTATATCAGAACAGATGATAAACCCACAAAAAAAAAAGAAAAATCATGCTGACCTTAATCTTCATGGTGCTTGGGGCCAGAGCGGTGATTTCTTTCTGCATACGGTCAGCTATACCAGGGTACATTGTGGTACCACCAGACAACACGTTGTTGGCATAAAGGTCCTTACGAATATCAATGTCACACTTCATGATGCTGTTGTATGCTGTCTCATGGATGCCTGCTGACTCCATACCTGAAAAATTTTAGAGAAAGAAAGGGGTTTAGCTTGTGTGGTTAATTAAATAAAAACTTTTAAACAGTTTACAGCAAATGCATCTCCATAAATAATAAACAAAATAAAACTAAAATACATCTTAATTATAACAAACTTTAGATATTCTTACTAAAATGACCCTTTTTTTAACAATTGAGCATGGTGGCTTAATTTTTCTGGTGTGCAGTGTATAAAGAGGGGCTCATATTTCAGCTTGTTTCTTTGTTTTCAAGGCTTACCGATGAAGGAAGGCTGGAACAGGGTCTCTGGGCAGCGGAAACGCTCGTTGCCGATGGTGATGACCTGCCCATCCGGAAGCTCGTAGCTCTTTTCCAGGGAGGAGGAGGAGGCAGCTGTGGCCATTTCATTCTCAAAGTCCAGTGCTACGTAGCACAGCTTCTCCTTGATGTCTCGCACAATCTCACGCTCAGCTACACAGATAGAAATATATCTATTTAGTCAAAAAGCATCATTAAAACCTTGATCATTTTAAATTCAGATAAACTAAATGATCCCAATTGGTTTAATTCAGTTGTAAGATTATTTTTTCACTATTTTTAACTTCTTAATTTGAGTTGAAAATGAAATTAAACAAAATATAACCAAATATGCAAAGCTTAAGTACTTATTATAGAAGCTAACTTTAGGTGCAATCATTAGCTTTCAGTTAAAACTTGTTTTCCTTGTAGTAATCTGTCCATGTTTGGAAAATCTTTTAAACTAGCCAGAAAAAGGGGGTTCCCCAAAATCTAAAATGTAATATGTTTTTGTCTAAAAGTTTAGGCTACGCTACATAAATCTCTTTTGGCAGTATATAAGTTGTGAATTTTGTAGAAAATACAACTTTGAAGTAAGTTTCTTTTACTTTTAAAATAATTTTTTTAATGTTAACTATCCATAGTTGATTCATCACAATTTCATTTTACGGTTAAAGTTGGTACTTTCATCTTACCTGTTGTCACAAATGAGTAGCCACGCTCAGTCAGGATTTTCATCAGATAGTCTGTGAGGTCCCGACCAGCCAGATCCAGACGCATGATGGCGTGAGGCAGAGCATAGCCCTCATAGATTGGTACGTTGTGAGTCACACCATCACCAGAATCCAGTACAATACCTGTTAAAAACAGCTTTTTGTCATTCATCTGAAATGAGAGGTCTACTTTTATTGCAATGTTGCAGAGTTCCTGTAGAAAGGGACTCACCGGTGGTACGTCCCGAGGCGTACAGAGACAGGACAGCCTGGATGGCCACATACATGGCGGGGACGTTGAAGGTCTCAAACATGATCTGCGTCATCTTCTCTCTGTTAGCTTTGGGGTTGAGCGGGGCTTCAGTCAGCAAAGTGGGATGCTCCTCTGGGGCCACACGGAGCTCATTGTAGAAGGTGTGATGCCAAATCTAGAAAACATTAAACATCATTATTTGTCTTCATTTTTTAACCACACATTCACTGTGGATTTGTTTGTATTTTCATTTCCCACCTTCTCCATGTCATCCCAGTTGGTAATAATGCCATGCTCAATAGGGTACTTCAGAGTCAAGATACCCCTCTTGCTTTGTGCCTCATCTCCTACGTAGCTGTCCTTCTGACCCATACCCACCATCACACCCTGTGAGGGACAGAAATTAATGTTAGTTGCTTAAGGTAATTAGTCTGATAGAAAATCACTACCTTGAGAAGGTGTTTTGCTTACCTGGTGACGGGGACGTCCAACAATGGATGGAAAGACAGCACGGGGGGCGTCATCCCCAGCAAACCCTGCCTTGACCAAGCCAGAGCCGTTGTCGCACACCAATGCGGTGGTCTCGTCATCGTCACACATGTTTGCTCTTTTTTCTTGGTCTCCTATAAAACAAAATATTTTGAAAGAAATTCTATGTATTAGTATAAAATGTTCAAATAGATGTTCCTGTTTTGTCAGGAAGCGTAGTACATTGATTTTTTTTTTAAACAATGTGACACTATTTTTGATATGCAGACACACTTGAGTGCCTTAATCTCCTCTTAAAGTCTTTCAGCTGTCTGAAAAGCCTGAACTGGATGCTGCCCCAATCCCCTCAAACAAACTCATATCTATTTTAAGCCTCCGGACCAACCGTCCTCCCACCCCCTCCACTCCTGCTCAGTATTTCATTGTTAAGTCAGAAGCAGTTAACAGCTGATGCAGTGTGTCTTTTAACAAGTGTTGCAGGAGGCCTGGGTCTCCTCTCAGCTGTTGCTGCATAGTAAACTACTGTTTGGATCCAAACCATGTGCTCAGATCTTTCTGGGATGCATCCCAAGTACCAGCATCAGCACTTATTTAAGACTTTCCCAAGACACAAAACATCCTACGCTGCAGATGACTCACTGATTCTGGATGCTCAATAATGTTTCACATCAGTACTTATTCAGAGCAACTGAGACTTAACGTTACTTTAAAATGTAAAATTAAGACATCATACGTGTCTATAACCACTCTAATGTTATTTGTGAAGAATGTCTTTGTTCAGCCTGTTCAGTCTACAAAATCATGTTTTTTTAAGAGTACAGTTTCATCTTATTGACATTAAGGTTGGATAAAACTACTGTATATATTGACATGATAAGCCTTAAATAGTTTAAATTATTGTTAAATAAGTAAGAAAGCACAGTAATTCTGGGGTTAAAATACACCTATTCTAAAACATAATAAGTTTATTTCCTTTCAAAACTACAAACTCCTGATGATATTATAGAGCAGTCAGATGGATTTAAATGAATGAGTGTCAGGAATTCTGTCTAAATGCATAAATATATTAATGTACAAAGATTATCTTTGCCTTTTAGTCAGTTTTATAATGTTTGACTCATAATTGTGTCCAAATTGTCCTTACTTTCTACATCTTAACAGCATCATATTTCTAACATCCACTATATATCATAAATAAACAAACCCAACAATTAGATTTTTAAAAATATACCGTATCCTTTTTACAGCAATAAATTTAATATCTTCACAAAAACAAAAACAAGCAAGTGTGCATTGGCACTCACCAAGCTGTAACCACAAGACAGGAGTTTCCTCTGGGATACAGTGGGAAGGGTGTGAGGGGCTCCTTAAATATGATTCAGCATGCTGAGGCTGGGGGCTAGTGGGTGGGCTCAGGATTTCATGCAAGTCCAAATTAAGTGTTGCTCAGCAAAACGGCAGAGTAACGTGAATCCTGTGTCAGGGATGCCTTCAGATTGGTGGGATATTTCTTTGGCAGTTTTAGAGTCCTTACAGAGATATAAACAGCAGCATATGGGACTCTTATTGTTAAGAGTGACTATTAAAACACAAATTTGATGATCTATGAGTCTATGCTTCCCTGTGATTTAGGATTAGCGTATTTGAATGCAGCTTTACATTCCTGAATAATAAAACTTTTACTTTTGTTGAGCTGCAGATCAGATCCTTATCAATGAAGTCATATTAATACCTTTAATTAGAGGTGTGGATGTTTGCAGGGATTGGTTGTAATATAAGAT